TTTTTTTTTTTTTTTTTTTTTTTTTTTTTTTCCTTAATATTGTTAGTGACTGCTTCTTTATTTTATTAGGATGTTCCTGAAAGCACAGAGATGTTGAAGAAATTACTGGCAACCAATGAAATTCATAATGATATCTACACATAAAATAGACATCTACCTGCTGACCAGTACTGTAAAGTCTTATGTAATATGCACTTTTGTAAACTACAGTTGCTTTCAATGAAAATATTTTGGAATTGTGCTTGTTTAGTTAAAGGTGAAATAAATACTGACTGATTTTACATTTTAAGGGGTTTTTTTATTGTTTGGGCATTAATTGTTGCCTTGCTTACTAGATGGGAAATTTTAGAACAGTTTGTTCAGGGAAGAGATCTTGAGAATGAAACAAGCCTTTTTATTTAAGTGGACTTTTAAAAATATATATGCACGTTCTATATGCAAAACAAAAAATATACTCCAGGAGCACAATTATCTGTTGTCATATTATTTTGAGACAGAGCACTTAAGTTTTCTTAAATATGTCCTTTGTAACCCTTGTCTGTGACTCATCTCCTGTAGCAAAGTGCTTCAGCACTGCAGTTGGTATTGCTGCACCATGTTTTTAAGAATCTTAAAGTATCTTAAGAAAATGATGGTAAAAAACTGTAGTAAATGAACCAGTGCAAATCTGACATTTGGTTTTCAGATGAGTAGAGCTATAGGAATGTTGAGTCACAGCAGATGTGTGTAATATGTAATTTCATTGTTTTTATTTCACTTCTGAATTTGCCTCTGTATTTTAGCCACCTTTTTAAAGAAATTTACTTTTTGATTGTCATAAATTTTGCTGGCCAAAACTGTTCAATTAATGTTTTATATCTTAACAATCAAATCTGACCAAAAACATTAATTTTGAATCATACATTAAAATGTTCATTGAGCATCTTAAGTTTACAAATGTGTAGTCAGCACAAATCATTTTTATATTAAATATGAAATAATCACACACACAGCTTAAATATTAAGTAGTTAAAGTTAAAATGTTTATAGAGATTGGTTTAAGAGTCAGTGATACATTGTTCTGCGAGTGCCTTTTAAAGTATATGTTAGGGTCAACATAAATTTGATACATTTACTATATGTTCTCCTTGACTATTAATTCAAGATCCTAGCTGAGAATGTGTTGCAAGTTTCATTTGGTTTATAACCAAATATCATAAGAGTATTGTCAATACAATGTAACCTTTTAAACTGTTTGAGTTATTTAATAGGGAAACAAGATTACTTTGAATATACTATGGCTTAGCTTGCTTTCAACATGGCTAATTCTATTTTGGTAGGAAGCCCACTGAATTTGAATTGTATATTTTGTGGTTTTCTAGTTGTGTTATTTTTTGTGGATTTATTTCAGTAGTCCCTGCTGTATTTTGTCTATTAATTGTCCTTGATGAGGGTGTAAGTTTTCAGTTTATCGCAGCATACTTATTAGTTGGGATTTAGGCTTAATATGCTGTTAATACAGCAACTAGTTTAGATTTGAGATAAACAAGGAGCTATCACTCTGCAAGTGTTATATTTTTGTAACAATTCACTAGAGATGCTTCTTATAGTTTCATAGATTAAGGGTCGGAAGGGACCTAGTAGATCTTCTAGCCTGACCCCCCACCAGGGCGG